CGTGGCGGGCGAGAGCGCGCAAACCCTCGCAGCGCTGCAGGCTTCCAGCTGAGGGGCGGAAGTGAGACGCGCGGCGGATTTCGAAAGCGGCTGCGATAGCGCTGAGGACGCTGAACGGAGGGACTGCCTCTACCGGGCACTTGGAGAGGCCCACGAGCGCTGGCAAAACCTTTGTGACATCAGCTTCTCACGCAGCACGGTGATGCACGTCAGAGCGCGCAAACCCTCGCAGCGCTGCAGGCTTCCAGCTGAGGGGCGGAAGTGAGACGCGCGGCGGATTTCGAAAGCGGCTGCGATAGCGCTGAGGACGCTGAACGGAGGGACTGCCTCTACCGGGCACTTGGAGAGGCCCACGAGCGCTGGCAAAACCTTTGTGACATCAGCTTCTCACGCAGCACGGTGATGCACGTCATCTTGCGCGGCCCAGCACCTCCGCGCGCTGGGACTGCGAGTCCTGTGAGCCAGTAGAGGAAATGACCCCTGGCCCGGGTGCTGGCCCTCAGACTTCCCTGCGCCGCGTGTGTCACGTCCTGCGCGGAGACAGCCGTCCATCTGGAGCGATCTGGGCGAGTGATCTCCGCGGGGCTGAGGAGAAAACCCTCAGAATGTCACCGTGTCAGTTTCCCCCTCTCTGTGCCTAGTGGAAAAAACAACACCAGAGAACATAGAGAATGACATCTTCTGGAGCTATCAATATTTCTCAAAGTTCATGGGGCGGGGAGGGAGTATGACTTGTCGCATTTCCCGAACATGACCCAGCAGGAGAGATCATCCCTGCTCTTCTGTCCCTTGCGCAGTGTGCAGGCCAGGCAGGCGTCCTGCTCCACACACTTTCCCTGGTGCTATGGGCTTGTGCTCCAGGAGACAAAACCCTTGTGACTCCAAGGAATACTGTGTCCTGGCCCTGGTGTTACTGATCTCCCTCGTGTAAGTGCAGACTATACACACACTGGTGTGCCTGGACATGGAGTACGGTGTGCGGTGGCAAAGTGACACTGGAAATAGCAGAAATGTAAGAAGCTGCCCAGTACACCAAATGGTAGGAAGCTGGTTAAATGGGGACAGGGCTGTGCGGTGGGATGCTGTGTAACTAAGAACCATTTCTTTATAATCGTGACCATCAGCCACAAGTCCTGTTGACACTTGTGAGAAACTGATATAAATCATGAAGACGTCTTCATTACAGCCTTGAACCCTCCATTGGGAAATGCCCCCAAATACAGAGAGTGTCTTGAGCACATGGGCTTCTGGTGGCTGGTTTATCCAGATGTGAGTAGAGGCAGGAGTTCCCAGAGGGCCTGTCGGGCTGCTAAAATGCAGGCTCCCACATCTGCCTCGTGGGATAGTAGGTGTATACGGGATCTCCTTTTTTCATGGCCTCTGGCTTGGCTGTGCAGGCTACCCTAATACTTCTCCCAGTTTTACCGCCCCGTGTGTGCAGGTGTGTAGCTTATAGCAGACTTTATGGACTTGTGCGTTCCTGTCTCTAATGTGGAAGGGTGTATCAAATCATCTAGTTCATCACTCTGTTAAGAACTATTTGCCTTGCTACTTTTCCTACCCAAGCAGCATCAATATAGCCCAGCCCAGCCCCACCAGTTCTGCAGATTTCCCCTTCTCATCTGCACAGAGACCACAGTAGCCCAGGAACCTTTCCAGAGGTGCAGAGACACCAGCTGCTCTGGGACACAGGCCAGGATGTCCAGTGGGAATATGGAGGGACGCCTATGGCTGGTTCTGAGTCCCTTGGAGGACTGTCCTGGGCTCCTAGTGTTAGGTCAGCCCCTGGAGTTCAGTATTCTTGGAAACGTGTTCAGGGCGGTTGCCTTTAGTTCTGGATCATACCACTTTATGTTAATCATTACAGGTATGTTATTAACTCAGAAACATGTATTTTGTGATGATCAAGCATTTGGCTGACCCTTCTCCTGGATCGCTAGCAAGCAGGCTGATGGATTATCACCAACACCTCCATGACTCCTCTGGGTACAGAGTGGTCAGGGGCCCACAACTGTTGAGCTGTCCTGCAGTAAACATGCCACTTCCCTGTCATATGTACTCCGCCATTATTTTTACTGTAGCATTAATAATCCTTTAGGATAACTATCCTAAAAATAGACCTGATAGCAATATACAAAGTCTGCCAAAAAAGGAATACACACTTCAGGAAAAGATAAGCTTATAGAAATATTTCAATACTGCATTTATTGAGACATCATGAGATTAATACAAGTTACCTTTGGCCTCTACAATTATAAGAGGTGGCCATGAGCTTCCAGACATTTATTAGTACTACAAACTAATGCTTGGGTAACCTTGGTCATTGAGAGTACTATTCATACATTTTCAATATCTTTTCTTAGGTTCTAGCAGTGTAGTGGGTTTCTGTGATATATGACATCCTCTAGGGTCCCCCCTACGAGGGTAACACCATCTGTTGAAAAAACATCAGACAGGCAGTGGTATGGGGAAAAAATGAGAACCAAGACCTGTCATGTAAAGGTACAAGATCCCAACAATGAATGTAACTGTACTGTATAACTAAAAAGTACCAATAAACTCAATGAGAGAAAAGCAAAAAAAAAAGTCAATTTTTCTTGTCCTGAAGTATATACATTTTTGACGGACTTTGTATGTATGTATGTATTTTTGGATTGAACTTGGAATCATGCACTTTTGAGGCAGGTAGCAGCACCACTGAGCTAAATCCCCAGCCTGTGTATTTATTTTTTAAATATAAAAGCATCACATGTTCATGAATCATTTAGGAAGTATGGAAAACCATATTTTTAAAAAATCATCTATAGTCCTATCACCTAGAGGTAGATACTGTTGACATTTAGTGCATGTATTTCCAGATATTTTCCCAATGCATAAATGTACTAGGTTTGTTTTTTAAATAGGATCACACTCCACATGTAATGAAACCAGTTTTCAAGTGAGCACAAACATCTTTTGAGCCATCAGTATAGCAGTTGCTATTGTTTGTGGTGACTTTATTGGAACCTAATTTATATGCCACGCAGTTTACCCAGCAGAGGTGTGCAGCCATCACACTGTGACCCAGTTCCCTCCACACCCAGCCCAACACTAACCTACTTTCTGACTCTGTAAGTTTCCTATTCTGGACTTTAATGTGAATGGAATCAAAGACTATGTGGTGTTTTCTGATTGGCTTTTAACATAATATTTTCAAGACTCCTCCATGTTTCAGTGGGTGTTCACATTGTCTGTTCCTTTCTTATGGGCAAATAATATTCCATTGTGTGGATGTACCACATTTTGTTTGTACATTCACCAGTTGATGGACATTTGGGTGGTTTTTACCTTTTCACTATTATGAATAATGGTGTTATAAACGTGTGCACAAGTTCTGTGTATGTTATCACTTTTTTTGAGTTGGATGATGGGGTGTGGAGTTGCTGAGTCCTGTGGAAACCCTATGTGTGATTATCTGAGGGGCTGGAGCAAAGCAGGTGCACTATTTTATAGTCCCTCCAGCAATGTACTATTTGGCTTTTTGGTTCTACCCATCCCAGGAGGTGTGATTATGCTATCACTGTTAATGGCAGCATAGCCACCCTGTATGTTGGGGCATCTCCACTTCACTAAGAAGGCAAAGGTGGAGGAGAAGAGGAGAATTTGGTGTCCCCTGGGCGGCCCTGGGGGTGAGCACCAGACAGGCTGAGAGGGAACTGGGGGAAGGTCCACCGAGGTAGGGAGAAGAATGTAGACTGAATGCCTGGGAGGCAGCTCCAGGAAGGAGAAGTTGTCCCCGGTGGCCTGGAGATGAAGACCAAGTCACGCTCTGGACTTGGTGATATGGGGTCAGGGAACCTCAGTGTGAGGGCTGGGGGCAAAAGCCACATGAGCAGCAGAGACAGGACAGTGGACAGCAAGTGAGGACAGCCCTGGAAGGGGTTGACTATGTAGGGGAAGATACCTGAGGCCAGGAGGTATGTGGAGGAAGTTCTGTTTTTAAAATGGCCAAGATATGAAAAACTTCAAATGCTGATGGGAAATTTGGGAGAAAGCAGGGTATTGAGGGAAGAAGAGGGAGTAGGTGAATGTGGTGGAGAAGACAATGATACCACTGGATCTGAGGAGCCAGATGGGTCAGACCCTGGGAGAGGAAAGGGTGTAGGAGCTTGGGGTGAGAGGGGACTTGGGGCTCCATTTTCTCAGGACTGTGGCTAGGAACAGGAGGCAGCAAGTCCCTGGGATCAGGGGCCTGCAAGGTGGCAGGGCTGGTCTTCTGTACCACTCTCCAGCCTGGGAGGAAAGGCAGACCGGGGAGGACATCCAGAACTGGGTTGCTTCCTGCTCACATAAAAGGGCAATGGCAGAAGGGGTGCAGGATCGTGGTGGCTGAGGGGGAAGGATGGGGCAACAGCATGCCCGGAGGTGACACTGTGGACATGGGGCATGGGCTCTGAGCGGGCAGGGACCAGGGTTTTATTTACCGTGGAAGGGCGCAATTACAAAACTTAGTTGAACAACCTCACTTGGCTTGCATTGCTGTTCTAGGATTGGGTAATGCTCCATTCCATAAAACAATAACCACTCTGGTGGGCTGAGCAGGGGAGGTGGGTCTATAGACAGAAGTGCT